TGTATGTGTTATATGTATGTGCATATATATGTGTGTGTATTGTGTACTTATGTGTGTGCATGTGTGTATGTATGTGTTATATGTATGTGCATATACATATGTGTGTATGCATGTACTTGTGTGTGTGCATGTGTGTGCATGTGGGGGAGATGTATATGTGTGTATATGTGTATGTGTGTATTTGTGTGTATGTATCCAGTGTACATGTATGTGTATATATATATGTGTGTGTGCATGTGAGTATATGTGTGTGTTTATTTGTATGTGTATGTATGTATATGTGTGTATGTGTGTACCTGCTCACAAGGTAAAAAAGGGAAGATACTTTTCTACCTCTTAACACTGGATATGTCTGAGGAAGAGGATTAAGGTACGAAAAACAATAACAACAATAGTAATAGTAATATTCATGTGATTACCCTTATTATTGATGATCATCAATAAATGGATTATCACATGTGACTCTGACCCAAGCAAAAAAAAACCCCAAAACTAAAAGGAATTCAGAACCTAATAAATGCAAGAAAATGTATTAAATGAATTAAATCCAGTCGGATGGTAGAGGAAATTAAACTGAAATTTGAGCAGCAACACAAATTTCTATCTATCCAAATTAGATGATAAAAGGAAAAAAAGGATTTCAATAAACACGAGGTAAGCAGGACAGTTGCGAGATATGTGTCCAAGAGAAACAGGATGCCCTGAGTTCTGTATTCCCCGAAAGGTATGGGTGTGGGATTCCCCTCCCCATTGACATAGCAGAAATATCTCAACTAGCACCATCTCCAGGAAACATATTACTCAATTCTACAGCTGACGAAATCTCTTCAAATCCTGCCCCTCTGATTTGTCATGTCTATTCTTCCTAGCTAGGAAAGTTATGTTATATCCTCAGGAAAGTTAGAAAATTTTAGGCCAACTAAAACTCCTTAGTAGGATTTGTGTTAAATTTAGAAGTTTTTGACATCTTTAGCATAATCTAGAAACATCTGTCATTTAAATATTTGGGGCTGGGTGTGGTGGCTCATGCCTGTAATCCCAGCACTTTGGGAGGCCGAGGTGGGTGGATCACCTGAGGTCAGGAGTTTGAGACCAGCCTGGCCAACATGACGAAACCCCTTCTTACTAAAAATACAAAATATTAGCCGGGTGTGGTGGTGGGTGCCTGTAGGCTGAGCTACTTGGGAGGCTGAGGCAGAAGAATGGCGTGAATCCAGGGGGCAGAGCTTGCAGTGAGCCAAAATGGCGCCACTGCACTCCAGCCTGGGCAACAGAGTGAAACTCTTTCCCCCTTCAAAAAAAAGAGTTGGAACAGTCTGACACATTAGAGAAGCTAACCAATTAACCACATGATTTTTATTGCAAAAAGCAATTAGACTTGTTATTTTATATGAACAATTTAAGATAACATGGCTGTCTATAAACCATATTTAATGTCTAAAAGAATCTGAATTACTACATTTACAGATTCGATCAACTGGATTTATGAGTCGCTGAGGACCCAGGTGACTTTGCGTGTTAGATTTGTAAATCCCCTTCACTAGGTACTAGAAATTTGCGTGGAGCGGGGAGGGGGGATTTGGAATATTTATAAACATAGTATAAAACATTTGAGGAAATTAAACTGTTTGTAAATAGGGTTAACCATTTATTAAAATTTAATCTGAAAACCCTAGGAATGAATGTGTACTTTATGAATAAATGTATTAATTTAAAATTAATAAAATTACAAGTAAAAAGTTATTCTTATTTTCATACGGAAATAACCAGATTTATAAAGAAAATGACAATGTCAATGAGTTCAACTTAAAGCTGGAGAAAAACTAGGTTTTGGCCAGACATGGTGGCTCACACCTGTAATCCTAGCATTTTGGGAGGCTGAGGTGGGTGGATCACCTGGGGTCGGGAGTTTGAAGCCAACCTGACCAACATGGAGAAACCCCATCTTTACTAAAAATAGAAAATTAGCTGGATGTGGTGGTGCATGCCTATAATCCCAGCTACCTGGGAGGCTGAGACAGGAGAATCACTTGAACCTGGGAGGTGGAGGTTTTGGTGAGCCGAGATTGCACCATTGCACTCCAGCCTGGGCAACAAGAGTGAAACTCCACCTCAAAAAGAAAGAAAGAAAGAAAAACTTAATATCAACAACTGTAATAACCTAACAACTCCTAGGTATTTATGCTGGAGAAATTAAAATTTATGCTTATACACACACACACACACACACACACACACACAAACTATATATGGATGTTTGTTTATAGCAGCTCTATTGATAAAATGGAATATTACTCGGTAATGAAAAAGGAATGAAGCACTGATCCATGCTACAAC